CTTGACAAAGCCCTGGCTGGGATGATTTAGTTGGGAATTGGTCCTGCTTTGAGCAGGGAGTTGGACTAGATGACCTCTTGAGGTCCCTTCCAACCCTGATATTCTATGATTCTATGATAGACAATCCCAGGCCTTCCTACTCCTGGTTTCTTCTCCCCAGTCCTATGATAAAAAGGAGAGAAGATACCCTTGGTTTTACAGAGACAGGAATCTGAAGAGTGAGATAAGAGGTAATGGTGGTGGTACGTGTGAGGTGACTTGGAGAGGAAGCGATCTGCATGAGTGTGGGGGGTGGCTGAGCTGGGAAAGTGAGTGGATAGGTGGATTTTTGCAGGTGATAAATGGTGGTTTCTGTGGAAAAAGTGACTGAAGCATGAGTGGCGTAAGTCATGATGAGGTTGACTCCTAAGAGAGTGAGAATATGGGGGACTGGAGTATGCACTGATGCTGTGTACTAATTACTTCAACAACCAGATTCCTAGACTGGAAGCTATAATTGACAGGATACTTTTGGAGCTTCCTACTGGTCTTACCAGCCTCCTTTCCCTATCTCAGTTACTCACTCACTCGCCTGCATTGTTGCTCCTACTTCCGTTACTTTGCCTTGGGTCTTCTGGTAAAATATATATGAATATAAAAGAAAATGATCAAAATTTATTATAATGGTGACAGAACTATTAAAGAAATTAAAAACATCTATTTGACAAATGCTTATTAAACAAGTTTGTTAAAAATAAATAAGGAGAAGATGGCAAATGGTGGAGATTGATGAAAAAATGGAATGAGGATCTCACTTTTGCACTTTTGTCTCAGGCCCACTAAACCCTGACCCTGGCCTAGGAACCCTGTTTGGCTTTTACAGACAATGATGGGTCTGCAAAGCAAGGAAGTTCATCGTGGCTATGATTAGCTGCCCTTTTTAAAAAAAAAATTCCCCTCTTCAGCTGAGCTGTGCCTAAGATGTGCTTGAGTGTTTGTGCTCTTACTGAATTATATTGCAAGTTATTTAGGAGATTATCTCAAAATCCTCTGAAAACGGAGAATTATTCTAAGGCACTTATCTGAGGAACTTCTTTAGCCCCCGTGTCATCTTGGTAAATTCTGTAATTATACTAGATATGAGGCTTTTATTACCAAAGCTTTGTCTATTACAGAATGGTTACTTACTATATTATGGCTTCAAAAACAATTCCATCATTTAATGAATGGCTGATTTTTAAAGCAGCTATATATAATCTCTCTATTCTATGTCATTAGAAAGAAGGCACTCTGTCTGATAACCCATCTGCAATCATATCCATGCAAAAGAAGTAATTATGCGTAAAGGACCATTCAGGTCTTTGAATTCTCTGAACATATTGTGACGTACTTGTGCTACTATTCATGCAGAATGTCTCAATTCAGATGAACAGCAAGTTTTTAATAATCCTTCAGAACAAATAAATTGTATAAAAAATTGGTAAAATGAAGGAATATTAACTTTGCATGAACAATCTGCTATATGTTTAAATTTCTCATGACATGATCGCCATAATTTTACTCAAAAAGTGATTCACAGTGCATCTTCTTAGATAATCCATATAAAATTAGTTCAAAAGCTGTTGGACTGCCTGGCATGTACTCTATACAATATATATTTTTCCTGGAAATGAAAGCAAAGTTTGACACTTAGACAAGAAGTTTTCAAGAACCTGTCAGAACTGGGATGTGGATGGCCTGTGTGCACCAATCAGTTACCACGTCACCAGGAGGTGAGTAGTGAGGTCAGGATCAAATCAAGCTGGGTCAGGATACCTAGACGTCAGAGACAGGTACCAGATTACAGACAGTAGGCAAGTAGCAGAGTCAGGGTCAAGCCAGGTCAGGAGCCAGAGTCAAGGTTCAATCAAGGTAAGGTTTAGAGGAGATGCAAGCAGGAAGTCTGCAGCATTGCTCAGACAGCTCCCCATGAGGGCTTCCTGGTTTATCTGTGGTCTGGGCAGGGGCGGGAAGAGTCATTCAGGCCCTTACTCCTGGGGGAATTCTGTGCCACTGCACAATGCAGAATTTTGCAGAAATTAATGTTGTCCGCGCAGAATTTCCTTTCCCCCACAGAAATGGGCTGCAATGCTGCTAGCCTCCAGTAGGGGCCACTGGACTGGGCAGAGCCCAGCTTACCCATAGAAGACACTGCTGTGGGAGGGAGAGGGACTAGACAGTTCCTGGCAGCTGCAGTTCCCAGCAAGCCCTTAGGGAAGGAGAGGGCGGTGCGCAGGAAACTCCATGCAAGCCTGGGACCAAGCGTGAGTCTGTTTCTCCCTCTGGATTCCTGGGTTCTGAGAGGGGAAGGGAACGGATGTCTGGGGAAGGGGGGGCACAGCAGGGCTCTGGGGGGGAGGGGATGCGGGTGTATTGGCTGGGGGGGGCCCACAGCTTGGCTCTGGGGGGGATGGGGTATGGGTCTATTGTGGGGGGGGGCTGCAGATGGGCTCTGCGGGGGAGGGGTTGTGGGTGTCTGGCCCCGTCCCCCGCCCCCCGGCTGGGCTCTGCATGGGAAGGGGGCAGAGAAACAGGAACTGTGTTATCATAGAGGTTTCTTTAACTCTCTACTCCTGGGGGAATTTTTGTGTGTGTCTGTATTGTTACAGACTTATTTGCTGACAGGTATTTTGAAATAAATCACCAAAATAATTGAAACTGGCATGATTATGTAGTGTTATTTTGACAAATAAAATTTGCAGAATTT